TTTATTATTTTTCTTTAAACTTTTCACAATAGTTGGATATAAAGTGAAAAAAAATGCATAGATTAATAAGGATGGTTGTAGAAAGGTGAGATTTTGAACATCGTATAGGTTAAACAATTTCTTAATATTAAAAAAAAATATTATAAAAATTTACACCTAATATAGGTCAAAAATATATACGAATCCAGGCATACTTTTTGTGTTTTGAATCATCTGTCCTTAACTTCAAAACCTGGTAACTAAAAGATACCTACAATATTATAAAATTGAAGACAAGAATTCTTTTGATGATGTGGTATAAAATTCACTATATCTTGGTAAAATACGATATATCGGAACATAATTTTTACGTAAGCTCAACGAATGAAACAATTTCGAATTCTTAATCCGTCATATTTAATGAAAAAAATGTAGAAAAATCTATTATAAAAATGGGAGTTAGAGAAATGTGTCCACTTGCCCACATTCTCTCAGAAAACGGAACATTGTGCTTTATATTTTCTTGACCTCCTCTTAAAGATAATACTTGAATATATACGTAGGTGGCGGGATTTCCTTTGGCAAGATTTCAAATATAACTCAATGAAATGGCTTCTTTTTCTGCATTATTCTATTAGGGTTGGGGGATTATGAAGACTCAGTTTTTCTTTTCCCTGTTAACTATATATATTTTTCAATTATATTTTGAGCATGCATGTACTTTTAACAGAGGACTTTGCTTGTTTTACTAAGACTCACTAATTGATATATTTATTAAAAAAGCTTTATTTACTATATAATACCACTAAACTTATTCTTTATATAGCATTAAAATGTCGTTGAACAAGGGAAGTCTCCATGAGTTAACCTAAATTGATATCCCTGTGATCTATAAGGATTATTGATCTTTATAGCCAAGGTGGACATGTATTTGTTTAGGTCAATGTCAGGGAATTTAATAAATGTCGCGAATTGTCATAAATTAAAAGTACAATCACACGACACTTTTAAGAGAAGATTCATAAAGGTCATGAATGTTTTTCACCAAATGTAAATATTTTAATCATGTTTAAGAAAAAAAGAAAACTAATTGTTCTTGGAAAAGATTTGTTTAAATTGAAAGAAAATAGGATGAACAATTGTAATCTATTGCGTTTTTGTTGCTGTAATACATGTATAAATTTTCTCAGTAATTCTTTGAATGAAACAAAAAATGGCTAAGTATTGATAAGTAGCAATGAATTAAAGAATCTAATTAAGTAAAAGAAGTAGCACCTACCTATGATGAACACAAACCAGTCACAATAATCGGTTTAAAGGGAAGTCCCCGCTTGTTTCGTGTATACTAAAAATAGATGTTTTATCAAGGACATTTTTATCTATAAATAGTGCATATGTCACGGAAAAAAAAAAAAAAAAAAAAAAAAAAAAAAAAAAAACACGAAAGAATGAAAACAAAGACATATAGCAATATGATTAACCCCATTTATTTACAGTTTTTTTAATTTTTAAAATTGGAAACTTATTAATATGAAATGAATTTGGACTACCAGTCATATCCGGTAGATCGGTCTGGTCTCCTGTGGTGATTTACATCTATAAATATGGCTTGGGGTAAAAAGCTGAGTAGAATGGAGTGAAGTAGAGTGGAGTGGAGGTTTGTGGAGTCATGGAGTCTGCACATAAAGTTAAAAAAGTTAAATGCAATGCTTTCTTTGCAACCTCATTTTGGATTTGTGAATGAAAAATGAAATCGATGCAGCCAGAAAAGCCATTGACCTTTAAATGCCATACAGAGGATCATCTAGAATATTTTTTTATAACAAAGGCTAAGAATTATGACACTGTACTCCTATCCCAAACAGACAAACCTAGTAAGAGGTGTTGACAGCTTTAGTATCAAAGAGAGAAATAGCAAACAACTACACTTTGGATTGAATTATAATGATATATAATTATTTTTATTATCATTTATTAATTTTGGTTGAATTTTTACTATTAAAGTGCAAGCTGCCCTCTTTGTTGATATTTGAAGGTCATTCTTTTCTTATATCTCATTTCATTCTTTGTTATTTCTCCTTTTGTGTAACTATTTACATATCTCCCTTTTTGGGGTGAGGCGGGGAGGTATCGGTGAATTGCAAGAGACACTACGGAAGCTTGGATGTTCATGAAGTCATGTCAGTTGAAAAAAAAATATTCCTGCCATTGAACACAATTCCCCCTCCTTCCCTCTCTCATTTCGGTATACATTAGCTATATCTGATGTCTGCGATCCCTCAGACACTTGGAAACTCCCTGATTTTAGAATAAATGTTACAATTAGTCAGACACTAGTTCATGTTCTATGAACCATATTGACAATGAAGTAAATGAATGAAGGAGTAAATGAAAAAAAAATCAGGACTTTCAAATGTCAACTTAACAATGGGAATAGTTTTTTTTTTTTTGGGGGGGGGGGGGGTGGTGGTGTTTACAGAGATTAAGCGACCTATGCACTCCTATCCCAACAGGCGAGTAGTCCTGACCGATTTAATTACTGCATTAGAAATGTTTGCACAGTTGTTGCTTGTCAAAACAAATGTGCTTAAAATGAACTGAATTAAATGTAACTTGTTTTGCTTTTGTAAGTATAAAACAATCTAAAATTGCAGTTGGCCATAGTTTACAATTTGGTATCAATATATCAGAAACAGGAAATTACAGTAGAAATATAATCGCACATTCAACACGCAATCAATTTTTCAAGTTCGACAATATTGGGTCACATACATGTAGGTACTTTTTACCTAATAAACATTTCCTTATTCAATATGTCCACTAGGTTATAATCTTACAACAAACATGGTCTGTAGTGAAAAAAGAGCATTTAATAACTGATAAGATATAATTAACTTTTGTACCAAATCTTTACGATCAGATAATTGAGACCCGATTCTTCAACGGACAATAACACGTCTGGGTATTTCAAACAATGAACATATTTGCAGGAAAATCTTCCTATACATTCTTCGAAATAGGGGAAACAACCTCATAAGACTCCTTGTGTCTGTTTCACAAAAGAACTTATATGTATGAATAAGACCAACATATAATATTGAGATTAACTTATTGGTTTAAAGTCAACATTTTGGAAGTTATATCGTCGATACAAAGACCTTCTCAGAAAAAGCAATAGATCATTATGACGAATGCTAATTGATTTTTTTTTCTTTTTTGCATACTAATTCTTAGGTCAATCATTTACACACTGAATTATTAACTGAGTTATCAAACTTTTGGTTAACCCCATCATGACAAGGGCATATGGTAAGCACATGGCTATCGACAGGAAATGTTTATTCCTCCATGCATATGGCATGAAATCCTGCCTCTGATATTGCAGAGGTTCGTATTTCATCTTCTCCAGTTTTAATGTCTGCATGGACTTTCAAGTTTGTTTATTATTTGTTATCTCCATATTTTATTTGTAAAGATTTATTGATTGTATGTTGCTTTACGTCACGTTCAAGTATATTTCACTCATATATAGACGTCAACATTTACCGGTGAAGGACCTCAAATTTAGACCTTTAATCGGGACTCAGAATCATTGAGCAGTGGGGGTTCTTTATCGTGCTATCGTGACACGGGGTCTCCGTTTTTTAAGGTCTCTTTAGAAAGACAACTTTCACTTCAAAGTGTTGAGCGCTTGGCGAAGGAACAGTTGAAACCTATTTTTCATCGACTTACATGTAGGTCAGTCACAGCTGTGATTCGAACGCACAATCTTTCGATCACTGTGCTAGCCATTGCAAAAAAAAAGATACATTCCAAATTTATTTTTTTTTCTTTATTAAACGACCTGAAAGGCAGATAAATTTTTAAGGTTGGTAAATTTCAAATGTTGGTTGAGCTTTATTTAAGAGTTGTGAATACCTTTAGGGCTAGCAGTCTAGGGAGATTGTATTGTCTCCCTATTCCAATCTTTGTCAGCTGATTATTCCGTTCCTGCTGAATTTATTTTAGTTATCATTATCTTGAAGCTACTTTACTGTATGAAAAAAGGAAAACGCTATCGGAAGTAGCATTAAGCTAGCGGAAATAGAAAAATGATAAATCTAAGCATTAACATTGCTTCATATCATTTTATCATTTGAAGTTTTTCTTATATCAATAGTGTTGTATTTGACTGTATTCAATTGTTTACTAAAAATGCCGTTTTTTTTTAAATACATAAATACTGATTTGAAGAAAGTCAATTCGATTATGCTTGTTCTATTATTTTGCTTGCTGATGCTGATCCTGGCAATGACATTGAGGTATATTCACATCATTCTGTTGCTGTTTTATGTATCAAAATTAAATCCCTGTACTGTGCAAGGCAAATTGAATATAAAAAATGTTTTTATGCAAATTTGAAGATCAAACGCTTTATTTGAAATACATCTGAAAAAGAATAATGATAAAATATAAAATACATTGTATATCAATCCTTGATTTACAGATAAACCAAACTTACACTAATAGTTTTTCTACAAATAAGTTTTAAATAAAGCGATTGCAATATTACTCGAAATACCAACGGGTGTTCCTAAACTGCTTAAAGAAGTGGAATTTAAATGTAAAGTCAGAAAACATACTTCAGCATTGCAAAATGCAGAACACATAGAGAATAAGTAGAAAGTCTTTAAAGAGATGTGTAAATAAACATGTTAATCAATTTGATTAAAATTATTGCTTTCATACATGGAACATTTTTTTTTTAAGTTAATCAAAAATAATAGTAAGCATTCGAGATATTTGTGGCTGTACAAATATAATGCAGGCAGTTTATCAAGTACAAGTGATATCTACTTCTGGTTAGAGATTTTCTAAAATATTCCTTGAATATATTTACCTTTTATTTACAAAGACATTTGAAAACTAAATTTTACCAAAATCATATCATCAATTTATTCTTGTCTGAATAAGATAAAACCTAAATCTAATATTGTTCGAATAAAATTAGCAGTTTCTTGCTTATTGTCCTATTTAGATTCGTCTTCTCATTGGTTGTAGTAAATACTAGTCGCAGTGCTTTGAATGTGATCATAAACGGCCTTGATCACCAGGCAATATTCATTCTGAAAGGAAAATTAATGAATAAGTATTAGTAAGTATAACCATCAGAGGTATATTAAGAAACTTAAAATATCGTTAACATCTTTTATGGGATCTAAAAATTAAAGGCCAGGTTATGAAATATGTTCTTTTTTATTGACTTCAGTTGCTTTTTTTAAAAAGAATAACTGTCTAGCTTTTTTGGTTTTATCATCTGATCATGATCAATTCATTGGCTTGCGTGATAATTTGTGTAAACGGCCTATATCCATAAAATTATCACGCAAACATCATCATCATAAAACCAAGAAGAAAAAAAAATCTGACAGTTATTCCTTATATTTACATGATTCCGTGAATTCACACTCCTTCTCAGCACGTGATTTTTTTAATCCACTCCAATCAATGAATTCGAACCAAAAAAATTATGAAGAAATAAATAAATATTGTAGATAATTTTTCTTTAAAAATTGAAAGGTAAATATTTATTAATCATAAATCCGACCAGGGATATATTATTGTATTTATAAACAGCATTGTCTCAAAACAACTCACAAGGTTGGAACAAAATTCAGGTCTTCGAACTTGTAGCTGTCTGACAGCTGTGAAGACGTCCGCACTGTCATCGATGTTAATTTGTTGTATCACGTTATGGATGGCACAGAAAACACCACACAAAGCTGCACCATCACTAAGAAAAATGTTTACTATTTGATACTTCAAAAAGGAATATCGAGAAGCATTTTTCATCAATATCAATTTTAAAAGGCATTATTAGCATCATGTAATAACATTAACAAAATTGCAATTCTTTCTTTAATAACCTCGATAAGAATTGCATAAAGTAAAAAAAAAGAAGATATTAATTTAACAGGCATATCTCTCTATAGTTAAAGTTTAAATGTAAGCTTGACTAAAAATTTGTATTGTAAATAAAATATTAGTAAACAAAAAGAAATAAACCTGCTGACAATAGTGATAGGGTTATCTGTCTCAATGCTCAGTGTGGCAGAAACCAGACTCCGAAGTTGAGAAGTGTCAAGAGGAGCCTCTGATGTTTTTATGCTGACTTCCGGTTCTATTATTGTCACGGGATGAGCCTCCTCTTCATTCTAAAGAAATTCGCCATTGTTGTACTATTACATGATATGTCCTTCATTTTGTTTCCATAAGCACATATCAAGTTTGAAACATGTATCATTGAAATTTAATTGCATAATATTAACACAATGTTTAGGTCCAAAAAGAAAAAAAAAAAAGAAGATAAAATATGTATATAACTAGCGAAAGACAAATTTTCCTTCATACATTTTTCTCCAGAATGTGAACAGTAGTGCTGTTGATGTCATTCTCAGATCTAGACTGGAAATGGACGGTAAAAGGGGGCACTGTTTTTAAAGATGAGGGACTTGGTAACCACGCTTTACTCTGGATTGAAAATTTAAAAAAAAGTTGTATAATAAAAATTGCAAAATCGTAAAATTCTGGTCACTCCCCTTTGATGATGCAACGTAATTTCAAGGCCATTCTTGTGGTATTTTTATCACAACATGAAAATAAAAATCGACATCATTAAAAAGTTTAATTCTTCATCTTTAAGACAGAAACAAGTAAAAACACGGGGAGACTCAGGTTCAATGAAAGTTTATTGCCTGAACTTGTCCGATGCATGGTTATCTCACCCTAAGTACCATTTAAAAAAAAAAGACATGAAAGCAGAAAAAAAGACTCCCAGTCATCACTTGCATCATAACTGAAGTGCTTTACATTATAGAAAATCGTCAATGAGAAATAACACCTTTCTTTAGCAATTAATCACAGCACAAAATTCATCTAAATCTATGGCTGAGATAATTTGTGGTTCTCATCTCTATTCACAACCTTTGAAAATGTCATTAGAAAGGATGCTTGTACATGAGGGCGCTTTGGAATCAGTCATTTGGATTTTCAGACTTCCATCTGAAAGATGTATTTTTTTTTTAAATTTATCAGTCATTTTCAGTTTTATCAGCAGTTTTATAGAAAAAAAAGTTTTAAAAAAGTTTACAAACACGACCTTATTACGAGGCGTACATGTCGTATAAAAATGAAGCAGAAGAAGTCTACTCCAAAGCCGACTTATTTTTATAAGGAAATAACATTTAGGCCTCTCCGATGACTAAAAACATACTGCAAAAACCCTACTGTATGGACAATCAAATACGTATATATTTTGTACAATGCTCTCCACCCTGTGCACCATTTTCTTCTTCTGTTTTCCCTTTTTCTACACATTGATCTTAATCTTATGTATAAAAGAGAAAAACGATGAAGAATTCAAAAACTGAGGTCAATGAATAAATACAGTAAAATAAACTTATAAAGAACTATCAGGGATTCTGCTTCGTTATAAACGTGAAAAGCTGCATCTGTTAAGTTCACAATTTATTTCAAAGACACAGGAAATGTAAAACCACTTCCGTCTGCCTTGTAAGCATACATTCTTTATAAATGTGTTCGCTATAATAACCTTCTACCGTAATTTCTATTTTACAAGGTGGTCACAGGGATTTGTATCATTAAAAAATAACAAGGGATGTAATAAATTTGTTTTTAAGCTGGTTTGTCTGATTTAGAGATGAAAAACGGTATATACGAGACGGTGCACACGAGAACATTGTTCTTAACTGGTATAAGGGCAAGGGATTCAAGGTCAGTTATTTCCTCAAGACCGAAACTAGTTTGGACTATAAGAATTAAAGTAATGTTTGTTAAATTCAGACAGTGAGGGACGTCGTAACGATCGACGTCAAACTTTGTGCATTATCCACTTCTCACAATGTAAGGCGACCTTTCGAGGACTAAAATTTGAATCTGATAAAAAAAATATGGACAGTGGTGAATTTTAATGAGATCATCAGTCAGGAGTAGTTTGCAAAGATTTTTAAGAGACCCGTATTAAGCTCACGAGGCTGTACTAAAAAAAAAATCATAACGTTATAAGAGACGTAGATTGCTTTTCCTTTCGTGCGCGGATGTGCATTTATATTCTTTTTTATATTCTTTTTACAATATTTTCTTATTAAATACGTTAATAGCATAAACATGAAATCCATGATCTTGAAATGTTGCTTTTTACTTTGACAAGTAGATAAATTTAAACTAGGAAAGAGAAACAATTATTTTTCCTCTCTACAACTTTTTGGAACAACTCAAGCACACGTAATTCATTGAATGTAAGTCGGAAACATGGAACTGTGAATTCTGAATACGTTTTTAAAAGATCTGCATTTCAGTATGAACTCAACAAAGGCACTTTCAATCTTTCTGTACATGTTTAAAAAATAGAATTGGTGAGGTTAAGGTTTCTAGTTATATCTTTTAAGAGCAAAATTGAAGGTCGTTTAATATATATATATATATATATATATATATATATATATATATATATATATATATATATATATATATATATATATATATATATATATATATATATATATTATAGAACATAGAAAGGCATAAGATGTAATGAAATATATGGAGATAACGAACAGTATTCAAGCTCAAAAGTCCTTTAAACAATACAAAATAGGAGCAGAGCAAACACGGATATCCAAAACATCAGAGGCGGTATCAGGTGCCATGGAAGAGTGAGCATCCCCTGCCGACCTGACACACCCGCCGTATGCTTCTTGTCATGATCGGGAAATAACGGAAAAATCCGTCGACAATTCACTGTGAAAGTAATGGCCTAACAATTAGTATGAAAAACGTCAGTCAGCATTTGGCTTAATGATAAATTGTATTTTCTGACAAGGTCATTGTATCGACCATAGAACTTACGAAATGATGACTTTAAACGAGACTGCTGATATTTTTGTTTCATCAACTTGTTTGTCAATAATTTACCTCGTTTTAGAAATTGTACATACATAGAGCATGCTCTTGCGTATCGAATCAACTGAGAGATATAAACCCCGTATGCAGGTGATGAGGGTATACTGCTGCATAAGAAAGGGAAGTTGACGATTGAAACGTCAATGTCATCACGTTTATTATGAAGCTTGGTTGTTAGATTACCATTAACGTATTTTTCAAGTAAAATGTCCAAATATGAAACAGATGTGTCAGACTCTGTGGTATCTTTAATCTCAAGCTCACCGGGATATATCGTATCGACATAAGAATGGAAATAAGCATTGTTAATTGACAATACGTCAACGATATACATAAATGTCGGATTGATGGCCACAGCAAGTTTTTTCTTCTTTTGACGTATAAGATTTTGGATAAATTCTGCTTCATATGAATTCAAAAAAAGGTCTGCTAATAACAGGGCGCAATTGGTACCGATGGGAATTCCAACAGATTTTTGGAAGACCTGGTCTCCAAAAACCACATAGATATTGTCAATCAGAAACTCAAGCATTCTTTTGTAATGTCAACTTCAGAGTACTTGTGTGTACAATTAGAATTTTTTTTTTTTTAACAAAATAATTTTGCAAATGACCAATTACAAGGTACGTTAATTTACGAGTTCCATATTTATTGAAAAAAAAAATGTAATTCAATTCATTTAAACTCAGTTCACTTAAAATTCTAGTTAAACAAATAACGTAGAAATTATTTTACAGATATTAATAATAAGTTTTTTTAGTATCTTTTTTTCTGTCTCTGAAGTTTAGGATTTTTTTAACAAAGAATAAATTAGGACTATTCTCCATTTAAAGTAAAAAGGTCTGTAATTGCCTGTGTTTTGCTGTAAAGACAATACTATGTCATTGTTGTATAAGCCTGTCAGTAACACAATCCAAATCAAAAAGAGAAAATCAAAACTCCTTTTTTACGCAGTTTTTACAATCTGAAGTCATTATGGTCTGAAAAACCTTGTATGTGTCTCCACAAGTTCACTTTTTGGTGATTTTTTTTAGGTTTTTGAGGAAGGTTACTCTCTATACATTTCAAATTATTTGTTACAATAAGGCATTTGAGGAACGTTTCTCTCTCTTATAAAGTCGTATTTTTAAATACCACGAATCTTACCACATCAGGCAGAGAGAGGGACTTTCCTCTCCCTTATAAACTTGTATTTTTAAATACCTCATGAATCTTAACACATCGGGCATTTGAGGAACGTTCCTCTCTTAAGTTCATATATCTTTATACACCTCCTGAATGACCAAACATAAGGCATTCGAGGAACCTTAACGTTCCTCTCCGAAATTTATCTATATCTTTAAACATCTTATAGACATTCACATGCGAGGAATGTTCCTCTCTCAGATTTCTATCTGATGATACCTTATTCATAAAGTTTATTACAGCAGGCATTTGAGGTACTCTCTCAAATTCAAATATCTGTAGTTAACTCATGCATGATCAAACATCAGCCATTTGAGGAACGTTCCTCGCTCAAATTTTCCTATATCTTTAAACATCTTACACTGCATGTTTACGTATGACACATTGGAGGAACGTTCCTCTCTATGCATGCATAAAGCATTGAAGGAACGTTCTTCTTTAGTACATGAAATGCAGTACATATTTGTAGAAACTTTTTTTTTGTTTTTTATCCGCAAACACTATAAAAAATATATACATGTATATGAAAAGTCATTTTGACATTTTAAATAAGTATATTTTAATAAAGCTATGTTAAAGCATTATATCAATCATGCACAAAGAGATATTTGACTTAAGTACAAGTATCAACACCAATTCAAGGAATTTTGATGACATATGATGCATTTGAGATTAGTTCTAGGAAAATTAATTGCAGAACAAATGAAATTAAAGGGCTTTCATATTTAATATATTAAAACTCCAATATCCCCAAAATAATCTTCCTCTCTGAATAATTGTTCTGTCACTGCACACATTTTCAAGAACATTTAAAATTCAACATGATGTTAAAACTTATTACAAGAATTCCAATGTTTTGTTGTACTTGATTTCATTGTATGTTTCAACTATTCAATGTTGTAACAAAAACTCTTGCCTAGTATATACTAGTAAATTAGGAAAACTCTTGCCTAGTACATACTAGTAAATTAGGAAGTTTAAAGTGCCATAGTTACAAAATACAATTCAGAAACTTCAAAATATTCATTACTACATCTAGAAATCATTTCAAACAATATGCTACCCTTTTCACTGAATGGCATTCACATTACTTTCTAGAATGTCTACCTGGGTTAACACCCATGTTTGTTTTTTTTTTTTTAATTTTTAACACCGAAACTAAACCATATCATTGAGGATCACCGTGGTTCTTTCTCAGTTACATCTTCCTTAATACCAGTAATAGGGAGAAAACCTGTATCCAATTCCTTGGTCTCCAAAGGTTCATAACTGCTTTTTTCATCAACAAATTCTTTAGTGTCATCATCTGTTGGAAAAATGTCACATTCAGTATCACATTTTAAAATTCAAATAAAGTAATAAAAAAGGGCCCTCCAGATTTTCAAAACTGTGATATAAAGATAAAGTAGCAGAGATAGAATATTAGAAAATATTTGTGTAGTGGTAGTAAGATTATGTATGATGTCTCATCTAAAATGAGATTAAAAAAAAACAGTGAAAATAGAGAACTTGGATTAAAATTTTGAAATTTTAATTGCTATGAATTATAAAAATACATGTATAATCTTGAAAAACAAAAGGTAACGTTCTCAGAGAAGTGTTTATTTTGTGAGGTCTTAATTGAGACCCATACTCCTCACATAAATTATCTTTATTCATTCTTTCTTTGAAATAGATATTGTATCTTAGACATCACATTAGAATCTCATTTGTTATCTGTTATATATGATAATAATTATAAGGTCATAATTTAGAAAAGTTGCATTTATCCTTTTCCAAAGAAAAGTGCAGCTGTAAAATTTTATTTCATGAGTTTTGTATATGTATTCTCCTTTAATCTACTGTAACTCACTGTAATTCTGATTCTCATTTTTTACTTTGCATTAGTAACCTTTCAGATAAACCTCAAAAACTGAAATCTGTGTCTTTATAATAATGAAATATTGACTCTATATTGATTTGTCTATTAACACCCTCCCCCCTCTCCAGATCATTCTTTATACAACTGACTTTGACATATTGCTCGTGCCCTGTTCACAGATTACTTGATATCAATCACTGCCAATCATATATGCAAGGGAAACATTATGAGATTTGCCTTAAACCAACTCTTGCAACTATATCCCCTATCTATCCCCTGAGACTGCAGGGGAACAGGCTTTATGGACAGTGAAAACCAGTGCTGATGATATGATGATATCTGATTACTTGCTGAAAGTTTATATCAGTCAGGGTCAAAAATATATACAGATCTGCAGTTAGAAGATCGGAGCAATTAATTAAGAAAATTTAACATTCTGTAATTGAACTGATTAGACAATTTCAATTCCAACTCCTTAAGAATTAGGATAATGTCAATATATTTAAAAAAGCAACATGAAAAATTAATATTTGTAAAACGTGAAAATAACATCGACTGATCCAGAAGGGCAAGAAAAAAAAATCCATATTTCCTCCTGAAAACTTTAAAAAATATGTATTGATTTAGAAGATTCTATAAAATTAACATTTAAAGAATATGTTGTACTGAGTAATACAATCATTCTGTTTTATTAACTGGATATCGATCTAGCCCCCTCCCCCACCTATTTCCCCTTTTCCAAATTGCTAGATCCGATTCCGTCTATGTGATTTATTGGCAAGTTTGCAGAAACAAGCAAAATCAGAATTTCACAGATACACTGTATCTAGGATTGCAGAGTGGGTCATTTGGGATTGATAATCTAGTGATCAGCGACAGCAAGATTAGCAGCCCATGTTATCTGTAAAATAACAAGTCAATTTATATAGCCTCTGTCTTACCAGCTTTCATTTTGGAGAAATAATATAGGAAGATTTTCTTTAACTCTTTTAAATCATCAAGAAATCTCTTTATGGCTTGACAAATGCATTTAAGAATAAATTAAGATATCAATGGCCATAAGAACCTTTGTATGCATATCAAGCATGTGATGTAAGCATGAGCCTCTTCACTTATTTTTTTTTACTCCATTTCTACATAATGAATAAATAAATACAAAATCTTGGTTAAGCATCGAATGATGTGAGTATCGATTAGTGAAACTGTTACTCAGAATTGAGTATTCAATTAGAAACAACATTATTATTATTTTTATCAGGTACTGGTAACGTGTATTTAATTTTTTTGAATTTTTCAATTGTGATTTTGTAGCATTTATGATGTCTCTCAAACATATAATATACTTAGTTGAGAATTATGATGTTGTTAGTGTGAGTGATGAAAACAATTATTTTACACAATCTTGTCAAGTATCCCTTACGTATGCTACCTGCAGCAGACTTTTTTCAAAGGGTACATTATTGAAGATTTAATTGGATTTGTCTTTTTTCCAACACATTTCAAGTTAACAATTAGCAAACCTATCAAGAACAAGTTTCTATATGGCTGAGTATGATCCTTGACAAGGTCACTGTTGCTGGTAATTAAAGAACAACACATGATTCCAATCTAATTACTAATTCATACACAGATAAGCTTAAATACAAAATAGCAGAGTTATATGTAATGATATCTTGGGAAAGTATAAACAACTGACCAGTGAACTACGTGAAGCCTTTAGTATCGGGGATGAATAAACAAACTACAGGGCTCTGTTTAGTTTAAAAACATTACTTCTGTGACATTATTCCCCTGAGCCTGGGTGAATTGGCATGCTCTGCTCTCTAAAGCCATCTAAATTAACAGTGCTGAGCACCTAGTGAAGCACGGATGACATATGGATGGAACTGGGTGAACCAGAGCTATAGCACTTTCTTTATCAAATCAATGTTTGATAAAAGAAAGCAAATACGGCTTTACATTAAAAATACTGGGTCTTTCCAAATAATTCAAAATGCAAGCCAAAAAAAATTCTTTTGGAAATAATGTACCTCTTCAATACATGTACATGTCAAGTAATTCCATTTTACAAAAATATTATATGAAGAAACAACTCTACTATGTATATTATAAATATTACTAAAATGTTGTATAGGAGTTCAGTGTTTTAAATGGGAGATGAGCAATTTTTTTAAGGAGAAAAATATCAGTAAGAATTATTATCAATTTTACTTTTGGGAAACAAAATAAATGTCAAAAGTGGTGTCCCAACACAAAAATTCCTACTAATGTAGGAATTTTGACTGCATAACATAATCATGAAAACATGAACAAGGAATGTTATTTCCCAAAAACTTTTATTGTTAAGGCATCATTTTTCTTATTAAAAATATTTGTGTGTGTGTGATGTCTTTTTTACGTGTATGTGTTTTTTAGGGCTGTATCAATATTTCGAATAATCAATATGTATCGATATTTAAGAATATATCGTATCGAAAAAATAACTTCCAATACTTATCGGACAACAGATTTTCTTTTAATTCTATGAAAAAGTTAGGAATTTTAATCACCAAATGTTATATTTTTCACTGTTTTGAATTAAGATTGATAGATAATGATATAATCATTAAGGAGATAGCACATCTTAGATAAATATTACAAAATACATGGACAACTTTATTATGTTCCCCAAACGAAGTTTGGGAACATATTGTTTTTACTCTGTTTCTTATTATTATTATTATTATTTTTCTTCCTGGGTACTTTTTTGTCCGTGAGTGATCTCCGAAACAATACATCCGATTGAGTTGAAACCTTTTTAGGGTTAATAGGAATGTTATGTAGATTTGCGGAACGAAGGTCATTTTGCGCGCACGTGCATGCACGTGCGTGCGCGTGCAATGAGTAAAATGACCAATATACTTGATATAGCCATAACTTTCATATCTTTTGATGAAATACTTTAATACTCAGAATATAAGGATATATTAATAGTGTAGACAAGATGACATGGTAAGAATGCACATGCATGCACGAGCGCGCATGCGCATTGATTGAAATAACCAATACAATTGATATAGACTTTACTTGTACATTTTTTGATGAATTGCTTTGACACTCAGAATATAAATATATATTAGAAGTGTAGACAAGAAGACTTGATCAGCGCACACATGCATGCACGTGCGTGCGCGTGCAAGGAGTAAAATGACAAATATACTTGATATAGCCATAACTTTCATATCTTTTGATGAAATGCTTTGATACTCAGGATATCAGGATATATATTAATAGTGTAGACAAGATGACATGGTCAGAATGCACATTCATTCATGTGTGCGCATGCGCAATGATTACAATAACCTATACAAATGATATAGACTTAACTTGCATATTTTTTAATGAATTGCTTTGAAACTCAGAATATAAATATATATTAGAAGTATAGACAAGATGACATGATCAGCGCGCACATGCATGCATTTGCATGCACGTGCGTGCGCGTGCAATGAGTAAAATGACCAATATATTTGATATAGCCAGAACTTTTACATTTTTTGATGTAATGCTTTGATACTCAGAATATATAGACATATTATAAATGTAGACAAGATGACATTGTCAACATGCATATGCATGCACGTGCGCGCGCATGCAATGCTAAAATGACCAATATACTTGATATAGCTGTAACTTTTATACTTTTTGATGAAATGATTTGATACCCGAAATATGTAGATATATTAATAGTGTTGACAAGATGACACGATCATCATGGACATGCATGCACGTGCGCGCGTGTACAATGCGTAAAATGACAGATATACTTAATATAGCCGAATTTTTTTTATCTTTTAATGAAATTTGAATTTAAAGATGTATTAAAAGTGCAGACAAGTTGACATGGTCATTTTGTACATGCATGCCCGTGCGCGCGCGTGTAATGCGTAAAAAAACCCAATATACTTGATTGCCTTATTTAATGAAGCTTACAGGGAATAAGACACCAAAAGGAAGTTGGGGAGCGTTTGGGGAACATCTGTAACGGTCCCCGTTACAATTAATACTAGTTTAATATGTTTTTTTCACAGTCATTCAAAGTTTGAATTTGACGTGTAATTTGTTATGACAGTGAGACAAGAACTTCGAAATGGGATATAAAACAATTAGTTTTTAAAAAAATCATGCATTAAATGAATTTTTTTTATACATGTAGACTTGTTAAAGAATCCAATATATCGGATATCGCATTATAAAATATCGTATCAATTTTTTTGCTCAATACACAGCCCTAGTGTTTTTCTTAAATCATGGACATGGATCCCCCTCCACCCCAACAAAATAAATAAATAAAATAAAAACAAGCAGTCTCATTGCTGCTATGCACAACATTTGATAACATATACTGGATGTCATAGAATTTTTATTTATTCTCAACTAATATATAATGATAATTATGACTACATACTTGATTTGTTTAGGATCCTTCTCTCAGTAATGAACTACTACTGCAACAGGTGTCATGACCGGATAAATTACACTGAAACCAAAGGCACATTTGTTCATTTATCAAAACAATAAATTTCTCATTCATAATTTACTGTTATTTAGAAGTGTTTAATCTAGCATTTCAATAGGCTATGATAACTTTGACAAAGTTATTGATTAAATCTTTTATTTCCATTTTTTATGCAAACAATACATGGTATACATAAAGATTTATCATACATTTAAATAAATATTTGCATATATACCTTGATACATCCTTAATAAAGAGGGACTGCAACATCCTGTTTTTTATCCAGCAAAGTAGTTTTTCTTTTTCATGACTATTATACTCTCAGTTGAAATCGAGAACATGGGTTTGCTATGTTTGAGAGATCCACATGCCCAAAGTCTGATAACACACCCACAATCATTTCAGTGTGGAGTGTCTTGATTGACATTTCTTCAAATAGTGGCACCGTGTTCCATTCAGATATGTAGGTCAACTGCACATGAAGAGCTTGCTTTAATCGACTAGCAGGAATAATATTCATCAGAAGACAATTTACAGTAGTTTGATTGAATGGGGGATTAAGAATTGGAGAAATTGACAATGATATACCTGTGTATTATACTGTGATACGGTCAAATAATTATCCTTGTTCAAGCACTTGATGTATGCGATGAAGATTTGTATGAACAAACCGGGCCGGGATACATATCAGTAGAGACACATCTTTGTAATATTATTTGATTTTCAATTAAATGAGTGGATGTTCAACCGAAAAGAATTGATTGGTCATTTACATTTGAATCTTGGATGAAATAAACTAGAAAAGCTAAGGGTAAGGATACTTAGTTTCAATTTTTATCATTTCATAGATATTAAATACAATTTTAGATATTAAAGAAAATTGTCATTGTTACATTTCTTTTTATTTTAATTTCTGCGTGTATGAGTAGAAATCATTGTTTTATACGGCAGCTTTATATCAAATCGGTGGTAAATTTATATGGGTTTAGGAGAATACAGTATAACTTTTTTGATTGATTGATTGATTGTTGTAGTTCTGTATGTCTCTTGGAGGAAAATGTCACTTGTATGAGAGGTCACCTGATGCTGGTGAAGGCTTCAAATTTAGACCTTTACTTGTTCGCATGATACGCAGGGCAATTGAGCAGTGAAGGTTCTCTGGCGTGCAAACACCTCAGACACGGTGCGCCCGTTCAAGGTCTCATTTGAAAGACCTACAACTTAAACTTCAAAGTACCAAACGTTTTGTGATGGAACAGTTTCTACCTATATTCCTTTTATCATTTTTGCAACCAGGGCATGAACCCGAGATCACAGAGAAAAAGCTCTACCGACTTATCGAGCTACGTGACAGTACTTTACACACACTGTATTCTCTCCCAGTTCCCATTACCATATGAAATTAAGGCTCATAAATCATGACTGCATTTTGCTTTCTTAAGTTGCAGGTTTG